TTCTCACGATTTGGCACAGCGTCATGTAATGTTGGTGTTTATTTAGTCCTCAACAATCATTAGTGCTAAACTTCATAGTCCATGTAGTTATTTGCCCCCCCCCCAGCAGGGGCCCTGGGTTGTCCGCCCCCATGCACCCACGCTACCTCCGCTTTTGCTCATAGGGATTACTTTAAGCAAAAGGTTTCTATGAAATAGAAAACGCTATTTTCCTCCACATATGTTTTTTATATACAGTCTATGGTAAAAACCCAAAGCAAAGGAGGGTCGTGTCGCCAGTAGGGCCGAATGTGTGTTTACGCCCCCACCCCATCATGCAGACTTTGTGCGGACTGGTTCCAGCTCCCAGTGAGTGAACACGCTGGACCAGGACTGAGCAGAGCCTCCGAGACCGACAGAGGCCAGTTTGACCACTTGGGATACAGTACAAATGTGGTTTTGTGTAAAACCACATTTGTAACACCTTATAACATTCAGTCTATGGGAAACTCTAACACTCCCCCGGTGCTCCGATCTCCCAGTACGGGCAGAGTAAGCTAATTTGACCAGTGGTTGCACAGCTAACTGAGCTAATAACAGCAGCTAATTAGCTGTTAACTAACTTCAGCAACAAGTAAACAAGTAAAGCTATCTGTCCATCAGGAAACTCTGTGAATCACAGAGTTGAGGCAGAGCAGCCGGGGGATATCAGAGAGAAAACTAGAAAAATATTTTCTCCATATTTCTAATATTTCTCCATCAAATATGATCCATTTTCACCAGAATCAGTGAAGAAAGTGAGTGTGTTTTTGTACAGTAATCAGAGGGGCCTGGTCCCAGAAACATGCTTCAGCAGCTTCATATTGTTTTCATTGGATGTTAAATTAATACAAGTGCAGAATGAGTAATCAAAATTGTAATGACAAACTTCATCAGAATACTTACAAAACAATGTTTTTGTCATTGATGGGCGAGATACTGCCATAGTGGGGACATATAGCATATCATAAAAAACATTTAAATATGGATTTTGGGAATAGGAGATTTTGTTATTCTGTTTCTCTAAAAATACACTGAGCAGAAAACACATCATTGATAATTCTCTTGTCTTCATTTGCCTATTTGGCAAAAGTAACTAAAAGTAATCCGATTACATTACTTTTATTTTGTGGTACTTGGATTACGTTACTGATTACATTTTTAAACAAGTAATTAGTAATTGTACCGGATTACATTTTTAAAGTAACCCTCCCAACCCTGCACTCATAAGACCTTGGCTGTATGCGAAATCCCTCCTCTTTTACTGCTTAGTATTTACGCTCCACTATTTACTTGGAGTGTCTGAATTTGTGCTATTCAAAATCTCAATTTACTGCTCACTGTAGAGTATCTGTTATATAGGGAGTAGTGAATGATTGAACAAGGAGTGATTTTGGACACATTAGTATATTTCCACAATGCCTATCACTTCTCACTGTACCACACTACCCATCGATCATTCAGTCCAACTGTCCTAATTTAAGGTATTGTGCAGGTGCGGCAGGGCAACTGTATTTCACGTGGTAGAGCAGATCTGCCACGTGAAATACAATGGCACAATTAATGGCAATGCTGAGGGTTTGATAGCAAAAGTTCTTTGTGACACTGAACCTCAAATTGTTCCCATTTTATGTTTATGCTGTGAAAGAGTAGAACAGAAAGGCCATCAACTTACAGTAGCACGTTCCCTGACGGATTGTCAGCCAGCCCTCTCTTGTACATACATATTTGGAGGTTTGATCTGATATATAACCAGGTTCACAAGTGAAATGTATCACGTCTGTTTCTTGGTACTCAGCTTTTTTGGTCTCTTCTGACACATGGGCGTGAGGAACATCTGGGAGCTTCGAACACACTAAGAGACAAAAACATGGTAACATGAGAAAAGTCCCACTGTCTAACATTGTGTCATCGATTGTTTGCCTCATATACAGATGGAAAAGGGGGTGAGTGGGAGTGGGAGTAACTATAAAGACTACATGAACAATGTTTCAATTGCATGATCTTCATCAAGGTACACAATTTTTCCAAACTATTGTAGCCATTAGCTAAACCAAATTGTATGTTGGTAGGATGCATTTCACATACATTAATCCATAAAAACCTTCATGAACAAAGCTAAAAAAAAACAATTCATCCCTACAAAAAACATTTTAAAACAGTTTAGTGTTGCAAAACATTTTGTATGGAAACGCAAGAATAGAAAGATGAGTCTATACAAATATCTTTTTGAGACAAAAATAATGCTAATAATAATAACACTTCCCCGCACACACTGATGCATCAATTATTCTGTTCAGTATTTTCTTTTTATCTAAACACAGTCTGTATCTCCACAAAGCTAAGTCATAACACTTCAGTAAGTATAAGGACCCACTTACCATTCTGTGACAGAGAAACTTCCACATTCCCCCACAGCTGGAGAAACAGAAGGATTACAGACAACTGCATAATCCTTTGACAGATGTTGCAGGATTCATGTGTGTGTGACCCAAGCTTGAGTTCTCAGGTAGCACTGCGGTTCACAACATGGACTGTTGACCAGTGGGATTGTACAATGCATGTTGCATTGCAACACCCACTGTTCCCAATACAGAAAGTTCCAGAAGTGCTTAAATACAACCTTTTTTTGTGGATTCACATTCAATTCACACACTGTCATATTTGTTAAGTATCATATCAATCTAATTAATGAAATGATGTAAAGGTTTATGTCCCGAGCCAATAGATCAGAATCAGAATCAGAAGAATCAGAAGGAGCTTTATTGCCAAGTAGTGTTTTACACATACAAGGAATTTGCTTTGGTGTTAAGGTGCTACACATAGACAAACATTCACTTGACATAGATAAATGTAGAAATATATAAATATGGAATAGACATTGCAAGTTATATAAGACGACACACAACTCTTCCTATCCTTCCTGCCAGGCGATCCCACTGTCTCGGCGCGGATCACGGACTGTCTATCGGACATGGATGAAGGCTTGCCACCTTCAACTAAACCTCTCTAAGACTGAACTCTTGGTCATTCCAGCCAAGCAATTTATCCACCATAACATCAAACTACAAATTGACTCCGCAACCATCACCAGCCAAGATGGTGAGAAACTTGGGTGTCATGATTGATGACCAGCTGTCCTTTTCAGGCATGTTGCTGCTGTCTCTCGGTCGTGCCGCTTTGCTCTAACAACATAAGGAAAATCAGGCCCTACCTCACTCAATATGCCACCCAGCTTCTGGTACAGGCCATTTTTATCTCTTGCATCGACTATTGCAATGCCCTCCTAGCAGGTCTTCCAGCTTGTGCGGTGTGAAACCCTTACAAATGGTTCAGAACGCAGCAGCGCTTCGGTTTTTGATCAGCCCAAAAGAACTCATGTCACTCCATTACTCAGTGACCTCCACTGGCTCCCCGTGGCCTCCAGAATCAAATTCAAGTCACTAATGCTTACAATCAAAGTGACAACTGGGTCTGCACCCATCTACCTAAACTCCATAATACAAACCTACGTTCCTTCTCGGCCACTACGCTCCTCCAACTGCCATCCCTTCACACCAAGCAATCCCAGTCCCGGCTATTCTCATCTGTGACACCACGATGGTGGAACGAGCTACCACACGCCATCAGAGCAGGGGCGTCCCTCTCTAACTTCAAGAAGCTCTTGAAAACTCATCCTTCCGAGAACACTTCCTCTTATAACACCTCTAACTCCTAACATGAAAAATAATAAAACTATTTGCGGAGAAGGGACAACGTCGCAGATATTTACATGTGCATTATTCTGGGTTTGTGTTATGCAGACCTATTGCGCAAGAAAATATATAAATTCACAATATAAAAATATACAACAAAGTTTGACAATAAAACAAATATGTTTAATGTGCCGGTTGGTGTGCATGATATAATGAATAGTATTTACATATGCAGACATTTGTATTATTTGAAAGGGGGGGTGTGTCAGTACACAATACAGAGCATTTACATTATGCTCACAAGCAATATTTGTCCAATATATTTGTTACCAATTTTGATAGATGGATGTTTTAAGATATAACATACGGAAGCCCTAAGCGGCCATCCATTCAAATATTTTTTTTACTCCATTTTACCTGATAAGGGGATAATTATCTCGAGATAACAAATTGTTTTTTTTGTGATAATGGGATAATTTTCACAAGATCTCGAGATAAACCATGGCTGGATACAGGGGTCGGCAGGTGTGTTCTTTAGGATAATTTCACTTACATCCAATGACTTTTTGTGTTTTTAATTATCTTGTGCAGCAAAGTTCTTATGAAGAGATTCAGGGGAATCCATCACACAGTTCCCGACGGCTATTTCAAGGTTCCAAAATAGCCGTCATGTGCAACATCAAATGGATATTTATGAATGAGAAGTGCAGGAATTTCCTCTGCCTAATGTTAAACTAAAGATAAAACTGAGGTTATTGTTCTGGGGCCCAAACACCTCCGTGATGCATTATCTAAAGATATTTTTCCCTTGATGGCATCGCCCTGGCCTCCAGCCCACTGTGAGGAATCTTGGAGTTATCTTTGATCAGGACATGTCTTAAGTCTCACATTTAGCAAATTTCAAGGACCGCCTTTTTTCAACTACGTCATATTGCGAAAATTAGGAACATCCTGTCTAAAATGATGCAGAAAAAATAGTCCATGCATTTGTTACTTCTAGGCTGGATTACTGCAATTCCTTATTATCAGGCTGCTTGAAAAAGACCATTAAGACTCTTCAGCTGATCCAGAATGCTGCAGCACGCGTTCTGACAGGAACCAGGAAAACAGATCACATTTCTCCTGTTTTAGCTTCTCTGCATTGGCTTCCAGTAAAATCCAGAATTTAAATCATCAGTTCTTACCTACAAAGCTCTTAATGGTCAGGCACCATCTTATCTTAAAGAGCTCATAGTACCTTACTACCCCACCAGAGCACTGCGATCCCAGAATGCAGGGTTACTTGTGGTTCCTAGAGTTTCCAAAAGTAGACTAGGAGCCAGAGCGTCCAGCTATCAAGCTCCTCTCTTATGGAACCAGGTTCCAGTTTGGGTTCAGGAGCCACACCATCTCCACATTTAAGAGTAGGCTTAAGACTTTCCTCTTTGATAAAGCTTATAGTTAGGGCTGGCTCAGGTGAGTCCTGAACCATCCCTTAGTTATGCTGCTATAGGCCTAGACTGCCGGGGATTTCCTATGATGCACTGAGCTCTCTCTCTACTTTCTTTCCCTCTGTATGCAACTTCATCCCATTATTGCATGTTACTAACACAACTTCTCTCCCTTTCCGGTAGTCTTGTGCTTTCTCGTCCCTCTCCTCTCTCCTCCTATCACTTCCTGCAGGTTTTCTGGCTCTGGAGCTGTGGAGTCTGGATCTGTGGTTGCGGGTCACCTGCTGCCCCGGTTCCTGCTCGACACCCTCTGCTGCAACGACTATGTTACTAGTCCTATTATTATTATTGTTATTATAATCATTAACATTATGATTATTATCATTAACACTGCTATAAATATCTGTACCAATTTCATTCAGTCTATAGCAACATCACCGTTCCTGTCTGTACCTCTGTGTGTGTATATTGTGTAGGCTGCCTCCCTCCCCTCTCTCTCTCCTTCCATCCCTCTCTCTCTCTCCCTCTCTCTCTCTCTCTCTCTCCTTCACCCCCAACCGGTGGAGGCAGATGGCCGCCCACCCTGAGCCATGGTTCTGATCGAGGTTTCTGCCTCTTAAAGGAAGTTTTTCCTTGCCTCTGCTGCCTAGTGCTTGCACTTGGTGGGAATTGTTGGGCTTCTGTAAATAGCATCATAGAGTACGGTCTAGACCTGCTCTTTTATGAAAAGCTGTGAGATAACTTGTTGTGATTTGGTGCTATATAAATAAATTGATTGAAAATTGAATTGAATTGAATGTAAAACAGTATCTTCATAAGAACTTTGTTAAACAGGATTATGAATAAGAAACAAAAGAAAAACAAGGTCTTAAGTGAGCATTGAATCCTGTGTTCTACCGACTGAGCTGATCAATGACACTTAAATCTATTTTGAAATTATCATTAAGAAACGTTCCTGCTGACTCCAGTGTTAAAATACTGTTTTGTTATCTTGAGGTCTCAAGAAAATTACCCCATTATCATGGGAAAACAACATTTGTTACCTTGAGATCTCGAGATAATTATCCCGTTATCACTGGATATGGAGTAAAAAAAAAAAAATTCAATCGATGGCTGCTTAGGGCTTCTGTAGTAATAAATAGGTTTGGTCTTTTTATGGGATTTGGTGACAATAGGAAAAGCATTAAACAATTACCTAATTGTAAGTACTGTACAGTTATTTAATAAATGGACTTTCTACCACTGAAGAAGTACAACATCATTTACATGTAACTGATGCTTTCATCCAAGCGACTTACATTGCTATAAATGTCAGAGGTCGCACGCTTCTTGAGCAACTAGGGCTTAAGTGTCTTGCA